AATCTTTATCTTGTCAGTTCACATAAACGGGTGTACTCGGATCATATCTCAATAACTTTGATATCTATGCTGACTTAAGACAGTTTTCTGTTTTGGTAATCTTTATCTTGTCAGTTCATATAAACAGGTGTACTCGGATCATATCTCAATAACTTTGATATCTATGCTGACTTAACAGTTTTCTGTGTTTTGGTAATCTTTATCTTGTCAGTTCACATAAACGGGTGTACTCGGATCATATCTCAATAACTTTGATATCTATGCTGACTTAAGACAGTTTTCTGTGTTTATCTTGTAAAATTATATTTTTACTGAAGTCTTAGATCAATTCACAGCTTCACCTTGATCTGATCCTGATCAGCTTTGTATGTTCTAAACTTGTACCCTGGGGCTTTATGGCACATCTTATTGTGGCACTTGTAAAATGTAGTCTTGATGTTTGTCAAAATTATCAAAACCCCTGTCTCACAAAATACATTTAGTGTGTACCTCAAAGTTTGTTGAGAAAATTAATAACACTTTCATATTTAAAATTGATTTTTTCTTTAATTCCTACAACCAAATTGTCATAAATCCTCTACTCTCTTAAGCATATTTGTTATTTACTAAGTAATATCTTAGGATTTGGTGAAATTAATGTTGTATTTACCTGAATGTTACATGTAATTTTTGAAAACTGTATTATTTGTAGAAATTTATCTAATCTCTTGCTGCTCTGTATGGGAAATAGTATTATGGTCTTTGCTTTCCTAATGGAAAGTAAATAAATCTCATTTTATAAAAAGACTTTTCATGCGATGGTCACATTTTGCAAGTTTGTAAGAAAGTGTTGTGTTTTTCTGTTTTATCAGAGACCAAAAATAAATTATTATATTGTGATCTGACAGTGTTGTTTTAAAACACCCATATTTGGTAGTGAAGGATTCTTCATATGTACTGGGTTATTGCTGAACCAAATGAATGAAAGATTCGACCCATCTTGTCATTTTTTCACTCATTTTCAGGAGTTCCTCATATCCTGACACACCCGACTTTACTCACGAGTTGGCCTTCAACAGTCTTAACATGGGTTGTATCTGTAGATACAGGACTGGGTTAAGATAAGGTAGAGAGAACCGTGCAACCTACAGCTTTGCCAGTTGATGTAGGCAAAGCTTGAATTTTTTTTAATGAAATGTAAAACGTCTGGTTAAAGAGTTATATTTCTAAGAAATTACTAATATATATGTATATATAAATTCAAAACTATATTTAAAAACAAAACGAAAAAAAACCTTCGCACTTTCTGGTCATATCCAAAAGTCATAACGGAGATTGCCTGTAGTAATAATACCCAAAAGCGTTGGGAATATCCCATCTATCGGACAAAATTTGAGCTGGTATGTTCAAATTCTAGTTAAAGAAATTAACAATATAAAAGTAATTTAAATAAAAACAATATTATTACTAATATAAAGAAGGCCATAAAAATGGAATATATATGTAGACTTTTTCTCATTTGCCATTTTTATATGCAATTCCTAAATTGCATAAAAATCCCATTAAATTCAGATTAATAAATCCTTTAAACACAGTTACTAAATCTGTTTCAGTTGTTCTTAATAATATTCTGGATACTGTGTATGAAAAAATACACTATGTTTAAGTAACACGAATATTTTTGGTTTATTAAGAACAACATTCCAGTTTTGGAATGCTTAAACAATTTAAACGTTTAAAATACAGCCAGTTTCGTTTCTACTTATGATTTTACTATTTTATAGACTTGAAGGATTTGATAAAGTAATTAACTATCTGTTCAATGATTTTATACACACAAATAAATATAGATTTACTAAAATTCAATGTAAAAACATTC